TGTCCAAATATGTACTGACTATTAAGATATATAATACCAAAAAGTTATTATGAATTCAGTGAAATATTTCAGTGATTTTAGATTTTACTTAAACACAACAGCACCCACAAACAATACTTAGATTGTTTTATTCTTAGAACTATCTCCAGCCTAAAGTCTGAGATACACTTATCTGTAAACATATATCAAAACTGGTGATGATGTAAATTCATAAACTGAAAAGTACTGACTCTAGAATCTGTTTCCAATGATCTTCCATTCAATTTTATTAATTATGCTTATATTTAGGCTGAAATGAACTTATCTTTTCTGTCTCTGTGGGAATACCATTGTCTTTCTTCTTCCCAACTTCACTATAAACCAATAGCAAATAACAAAGCTCTTTTGACATTTCAAAGACATTCAACTTACAGCACAAAAATAACCTCTTGGTCATTAGGTCTTTTTTCTTTTTTTTTTTTTTAATGTTTATTCATTTTGAGGGAGAGTGAGGGAGAGAGAGAGGATCCCAAGCACACTTTGTGCTGTCAGTTCAGAGCCCAATGCGGGGCTTGATCTCACAAATGTGAGATCATGACCTGAGCTGAAATCAAGAGTAGGATGCTCAAACAACTGAGCCACCCAGGCGCCCTGGTCATTAGGCCTTTCATTTGCCCTACCAAACTACTAAACTCTTCTAAAATTATATTAAGATAACTTTTTTTGACTCTTAAATTTTATGACAAAATTATCATTATTTTGTTCTACCATTTTCAATTCTATCAACTAAGGTAAGTAAAACCTTAATTGCATTCAAAAGGGTCCTTGAACTTCTGGTTCTGATTCTCATTAATATTAAGTTAATAGAAAAATAAAAATCACATTTGCATAAGCACACAGTGTCATTAATAAGAATAAACCAAGAACAGATAATGAGAAATTAGTGGATTGTACAGCTCAGCACATTATTTTGCTTACCCAAAAAAGTACTTGGAAACCCCAGTTTAAAGCATGTGCTCAGGATAAAAGCTTATGGAGATGCTAATTTAATAATTATAAAAAGCGGTTTGACTTCAAAACTGTATCAATCTCATGACTCTGCATTTTGTTAAACACATCTATAGGTTGCATAATCTATTTAGTAAGTAGCCAATTCCACATTCCTATTCTGGTTTACGGATTCAAAAAGCTTAATATTATTTCCAAAATTTTTTAAGTGCAGAAACAATGCCACAAAACCTTTTTCCAGAGTTTATCAATTGTGGCATAACTAAATTATTAGAAAGTTTATGCTTCTTGGAGTTTCTTTTGGGGTAAAAAAAAGTTTCTTTTGGAGTTTCTTTTTTGGGGAAAAAGAGAATCTGAAAGACAGCAATCTGCAGGGTTAGAGGAAGCTGAGTTCAGCAGACTATTCTTTAGGACAAAGTTTAAGTTAAAAGCTTCAGGGAATGCTTTACAAAAAGGCAATAAGTTATTCATCTAGCAAAACTTGGCTGAATCATAAAACTGAAAAAATAAAAAGTTCTGGAAAAAAAGTACCCCAATTCAAATACACAATTAAGTTTAAAGAACATTTAGCTGGTACATCTATTTATATACATTTTATGCTACAGTTATACTGGGCAGTGAGATAAATTACTGCATACCTGGGAGGAGCTGTTGGATAAATAATTTTTATGTGCTGGAATGTTAAATCTTGATTTAAAACCTGCTTGATCCATGTTCTCAATCCTTGTCCAGAATCACCTGATGGATCACAAAATCTAGGTTAAGATAAAACATTTTGACAACACAGTGTATTTAAAAGCAGTCTATAACTCTCATATCACACAGAGGCTGGAACAGGGAATAAAAAAAATTTCCATAAATAAAAATAACGGCACAGAAACCAATTTATCAACATGAATTAACTGGTCAGGTATAAACAGCCAAAAATAGGGGCGCCTGGGTGGCGCAGTCGGTTAAGCGGCCGACTTCAGCCAGGTCACGATCTCGCGGTCCGTGAGTTCGAGCCCCGCGTCGGGCTCTGGGCTGATGGCTCAGAGCCTGGAGCCTGTTTCCGATTCTGTGTCTCCCTCTCTCTCTGCCCCTTCCCCGTTCATGCTCTGTCTCTCTCTGTCCCAAAAATAAATAAAAAAAAACGTTGAAAAAAAAATTAAAAAAAAAAAAAAAAACAGCCAAAAATAATTTAGATTACTCTACTCGTAACTTCGGCACTGATCACTTTATGAGTTTTAAGTTTCTCCTTTGTTTAAGGGTACAACAGCAACAAATACATGAAGTAAATTATTTTTTCTAAAAAAAAATTCTTTATCTGATTTTAAACACTGCCATTTTTTATCTTACCCTTAAAAAGAGTAAATTTTTAAAGTGTCTATAAACTTTTGTACTTGGAACAACCTAAAACACTTTTCTTGGTTAAAGCAATAAAATCTATCAAAGGGATAGTTAGCATACTTTTAACTTGAAGAAATCTAAGTTTAATTTCGATAACCTGTTTACATGATGTAAAATAATGATTATATGCCCGAAGGCTGAAAAGTAACCAAAATCCACGCAAGAATTAAGGTATGGATATTTCCATTAAAAAAAAATGGAAGAAAATATAGGTCCATCTTCTGTAGTCCTGAAGAGGAATTTTTAAAGGTGACAGCTTTTAATTTCTTTTAAATCAGTTCATTAAGACATCAATTCAAAATATATCTATGAATGCACATCAATGTGTCTGGCAGTGAGGGCAAGATGAGGAAGAAAAGAGTCCCTGCTCTCACGGAGTATACAGTTTACGGTGAGGAGCGGACAGTAGCGGAGTAACCATACGTAAACATTAAAGGTAAATGTAACCACTGTAACGATGAGACCCTTGGTGCTGCCAGGGTTTATGGTATTCAGAACTGCCTCAGCGAAGGAGTTCAGGGATAACATTACCCGAATGTAAGGTCTGCAGAGCAAAGGTCACTTTGCACTTGATCCCCTGAGTTATTTGTTCACGTAAGGCCTAGCGCACAACCGACACACGCCGACACAAAGTTTTAAGGTCCAGGGGCTGGTGAAAAGGGAAGGGCACACGGAAAGAGCATCTCGGACAGGACATGGCGAATGCGGAGGTCCTTCATTGGAAGGAGCAGGATGACGTCGAAGAATTGAGAGAGAGAGCAGGGAGTGCAAGATGAGGCGAGAGAAATCCTCAGAGCCCGGAGCTAGCTGCTTTTTGGCAGAAAGGCGGCCATCTTTTAAGGGGCACTCCGGCAGCTGTGTGAAGGGAGGGACAAAAGTGGGCGTGAGGAGATCAATAAGGAGGCTACTGTTCAGTTCAGTCAGGGTTAAAGCCATGAAATGTACAGAGATACTTAGGAGATAAAATTAACAGGCACTGACGATAGGCTAGTTATGAGGGGTCAATGGTGGAAGGTTTCAAGGACGATGGTGGGGTTCTTGGCCAGGATGACCGAGTGAGCAATGGAACTACACACACTGGGATAGGAAATGCATGAGTCAGCAGGTTTATACTCGCTGAGTGTGAGGTACTCTTCAGAATGCATACAAGCCCTCTAGCTGGGGTTGAGCAAACTATAGCCAGCTGGAAGACAAAAACCATTAAGAACGACTTTAACAGTTTTTAAAGTTTATTTTATTTATCCCGAGAGAGCGAGAAAGAGACAGAACACGCAAGAGAGGGACAGAGGGAGAGAGACAGAATCCCAAGCAGGTTCCACGCTGTCAGGGCAGAGCCTGACTCAAGGCTCGATCTCCGGAACCATGAGATCATGACCTGAGCCGAAAGCAAGAGTTGGACACATAACCAGCTGAGCCACCTAGGCTCCCCCAATTTTTACATTTTTTTAAGAATCATTTTAAGAAAATGAAGGAAAAGAAAGGAGAAGAGGGAAGCAGAAAAGAAGCCCTTACATGGCCCACAAAAGCTACAATGGTTGCTATCTGAGCCTTTACAGAAAGTTTGCCAACCCCTGCCCCACACCACCTGTGCCAGCAGCACCCTTTTGGATATCCTGGCCTGCTCCTCTCCAGACAAACACGCCTGACTGCTGTTCCATGTCGGAGAACCTACCTCAGACCCTCTCTCCTGGCTTTTCCCTGTCTGCAACAGTCTAGCCCAAAACCTACACAATTGCCTCACTCAAGTCTAACTTCTGAAGTGTCACCACTGTAGTGAGACCTACTCTGACCACCTTATCTAAAATTATCACCCCCTATACCTCCCATCCTCCTTGCCCTTAGAATTTACTACTATCCACTCACTCTATAATATTTCCTCCACTAGAATGTAAGTTCCACGACAGAAGGCAATTTTGTTTGTTTCGTTCATTACTATATGCCTGGAGCCTAGACAGTGCCTTGCACAGTGGCCATATAATAGATATTTCTTGAATGAATGGGTTAATGAATGAGTGATTATTAGGCCTCTGGAAAAACACATCCAGAGCTCAAAGGAAACTTAGAGACACACATATATATCACCATACGGGGAAAAAACAGAATCCTTGGGCATATATGCACATTAGCTGGGGAGAAAAAAAAACAAAATGAAAAAAAAATAGGACCAAATTCTGAGGAACCCCAAAATTAATGGATAGAAGAGAATGCAAAATACACCAAAAAGAGCAAACAGGTAAAAAGAATCAAGAAAGCGTTTCAAGAACACCGAATGCTGATGGGGCCCCTGGGTGGCTCAGTCAGCTAAGCCTCTGAGACTTCAGCTCAGGTCATGATCTCACATTGGTGGGTTCAAGTCCCACACTGGGTTCTGAGCTGATAGCTCAGAGCCTGGAGCCTGCAGCCTGCTTCGGATTCTGTCTTTCCCTCTCTCTGTGCCCTTCGCCTGCCTGTCTCTGTCTCTCTCTCTCAAAACTAAATAAACATTAAAAAAACATTAACAGTTGCTTCCTGTACTGGCCTTACTCTTCAAAAAAAAAAAAAAAAAAAAAAGAATACTGAATGCTGCTGCTAACAGCTGAAATAATGAGATAAGAGGATGACTGAAGAATGTTTATTACATTTAGCAACACACAGGTTACTGGTGACTTTACTAAGAGCCAACTCAGTTCGCAGACACTTACTACAGGAGGAGAAAGCAAGGCACGCATGGTTTGTGTGAACCTTACAGCGCAGTGTGGAATACAGACCTTAAATTAAGTAATTACAAATATGAATACCATTAAAGGAGCATCCAACAGAGTGAATTAATCTAAGCCGGGAAACCAAACAAAGCTAATTAAACTATTACTTGTGTTTATCATCCTGAAAGAAGATACTTCTTTTGTGTTTTAGGAGTAGGAAAGGCTCAGATGAAGCTGGCTATGTATTACTCACATTCCCCTATATTCTTCTATCGCTGGCATACCCTAGAGAAGGTCAGACTTAAAAAAAAAAAAGCTTCTAAATTCACTTCTTCAATCTTAAAAAGCAAAACTTAATGCCACAAAGCAACATCCATTCATCCATTCACAAGGTCTGCTTTTTAAAAAGTTGGCACTTTATTCTAACAGCAAGGTAAAATTGTTACAATTGGTTTATATTGTAGTATATATGTAGTAACATATTTGGAGTAACCAGAACCCAAACATCTCCTATAACATAACCACATATAGTAAAGTCTAAGTCTAATATAAAATCATACTTTCAATGTTTATTTATTTTTGGGACAGAGAGAGACAGAGCATGAACGGGGGAGGGGCAGAGAGAGAGGGAGACACAGAATCGGAGACAGGCTCCAGGCTCTGAGCCATCAGCCCAGAGCCTGAAGCGGGGCTCGAACTCACGGACCGCGAGATCGTGACCTGGCTGAAGTCGGCCGCTTAACCGACTGCGCCACCCAGGCGCCCCTAAAATCATACTTTCAATAAGGGTCTTATTTACTACAATGGAGCTCTAACTATATAGGAATTGCATTACATTTGCATAATTAGCAGAATTCTTTGGATAAATTCTTTGTTCCAAAGTACAGAAGAAAAAAATAATACATACTTTTATATTGTACAAATCTGGATTTACAATTTATGAAAACATCGGTAATTTGAAATTGAAAAGAGTAAGGATAGACGTTAAGCAAAGCGACCCATGGAAAAAAGAAACGTCCAGGAGTATTTCCTAAAAATATTATTAACTAATTAACTTATTTATTACAAAGATTATGGTATTGGGGAATTTCTGGATGCTTACAAATGAACACCCTTGGAGCCCAAAATAGTACCAGTAACAGTCTCTTAATTGGAAAGCACTGGTGTCATCTTAGACACCCCACCTCACCTTCTAAATATATCTCAGCAGCCAAATTTCCCTTTCAACACGTTTGGCCAGTTTCTCCCTATTTCAAAGTGATACATCCTAGCTCAGAGTTTTTCCACGTTACCCCTTCTGAAGTCAGAGAGATCTGAGTGCGAATCCGAATTCCATGACCACTCACAGTAATAGCCAAGTGACCTTGGGCAAACTTCAGCCTATTGGGACTCATTCTTAAAACGAGAATACTTCCCACAATAGCCCATTTCCAGGTTTCCACCCAGTACCTTTCCAATCCCCTTCACTATCCAATCACCATCTCTTTACGCCTACCAAAGTCTCAGCTCAAAGCCCACGTTCTCGGTCAAATCTGACAAGCTCTTCATCTTCCAAATGCCTTAATATGCCTAACCACAGTTTTTTCCTTACAATTCTCTTGGCAGTAAATCATGTACCATCTTGTGATCTCCCGTCCACTGCTGACTCAAACTAATTGAATTGTTTTTGTTTTTAACTTTAGGTAGGCGCCCTGAGGACACCGGCTGCATCTCATTTCTTTAAAAAAATATTTCCCAAGAACTTATTCTGGGCCAAGCACTAGGGATGCAAAGATTAAAACAAGGGTCCTTACTCTTGAGGAAGGGAAAGTGAAGTGAGAAAGACAGGCGTAAGTAATTACAGATGAGTGGAAGAAATGCTATACCGAATTAAGCACACGTCACTAAAGGCGGGCAGTACAAGGAGAAGATCTACCCCTGGGACTGAGAGCTGACTCGGTGCTGTATCTTGGGGGCTTAATGACAAGAGAGGGAAAGAGGAAAAAGAAAGAAGGGGGAGCAGGAAAGTGAGGAAAGGGAGAAAGGCACTCCAGCCCTGGCGCAGTGCCTCACAGAAAGTATTAATAAATATTAAGTTAACTGGCTGAAATGTCTACAGTAGTATGGGAGACTGGAAAAAGAAAAGCAATGGCAAACAATCCAATGCGGTTGAAAACCCAAATCACTAATAGCTGACCCTGGAAAGTACTAAATAATTTATTTGTCTCTAGCAGAGAACTTACCTTACTAACTTGCTCTGTTTAAACTTGAGGGAGAACAATGGTGGGGATAGGGGAGGGTAGCAAGGGTTGCAAAAAAGAGCATATTGTAGATGGAAGGATGGCCGAGGGGCGGGACACAGGGGCCATCAGCGAGGGCGGTGGGCCAGTGACCACAAGATAGAAAAAGGGAACACACGGTGGGGAAGGCTGGGAACATATTACCAGGCCCGTGTGTCCCCAGCCACAGGGCTAGCGAAGGGAGGAGGGTCGCCCTCTCCGAGTCCACCGAGCCCTAATGGGCCCAGCGCCTCCTCCACTAGGGCAACACTGGGGGACCCGAGGGGAGGACGATTCCCAAGCAGAAAACTAGGACGTGAAACTGTAATCCACCTGAGCCGTGCAGGAAGATCAGCGAGGCGCTGTGCCTCCCAGCTGGCGACACCATGCAACGCTGCACGCGAAATGAACCCGACGCAGCCGCCATCGCTGCCGCCCGAGGAGTTTCGTGGGCCCCGCCCCTCCACCGCCCCGCGGGCCCGCGCACGTAGGCACGCAGGGCGCGCGCCCGAAGACGCGCCTGCGCAGTAGGGCTGGTGCTGTCGCGCTTCTGGGTCAAATCTGAGGCAGGTCCTGTTTCCGTGAGAGTTTTCGGTTTTGCTGAGGGTGGTATTGTAAAGGTGACAGCTTCGCTAAGCCTAATGGGTATATTTGTTTGCTGTGGGATTTTTAGCTGCAATCCTAAAAGTCAGGATTGCCTTTTTATTTGGAGAAATAAGGGTGTTATTCTGTTCAAAATTTAACAGATACAATCATACTTCACCTTCTTTGGGACTTGAACAGGATGTGTGTGGCTTTTTATATGCAAAGTAAGACAGCTATATAATAAATCTGTAGTTTTAAAAAACAGTTTACACAGCAGATCTAAGGAGGTACCGTTTCACACCCATTAAGATGGTTATTATTCGGAAAACAAAATATATGTTGGTGATGATGTGGAGAAATTGAAATCCTGGCGCACTGCTGATGGGAATGTAAAAATGGCGCAGCAGCTGTGGAAACAGTTTAGTTTTTCCTCGAAAAGTTAAACAATTACCATATGAGCTAGTGATTCTACTCTGGTATATATGCAAAAGAAAGCTTGAGCTCAAACCAGTGTTTTGTGCACCAGTGTTCATTATTCACAAAAGCCAAAAGGCGGAAGCAACCCAAATGTCCTTCAGGGGATGGATGGTAAACAAAATGTATACACATAAGATGGAATCCCTGTGATGGAATGTTATTCAGCCTTAAAAAGGAATGTAATTCTGATACGTGCTACAACATACATGAACCTTGAAAACAGTATGCCACGTGAAATAAGTCAGACACAGAAAGACAAATATTGTATGATTCCACTTAGATGAGGTATCTGGAAAGTAGAGGAGGGATTACCAAAAGCAGAGGGGAAGGGGGAATGGGGATATGTTGTTTCATGGGTGTAGAGTTTCTGTTTGTGATGATGAAAAATTTCTGGAAATCGTGATGACGGTTGCACAACATTGTGAATGTCCTTACTGTCACTGAGCTCTACGTTAAAAATGGTTGAAATGGTAAATTGTATGTTACGTACATTTTATCACAATTAAAAATTTTTTTTAATGTTTATTTTTGAAGGAGAGAAAGAGACAGAGCATGAGTGGGGGAGGGGCAGAGAACAAGGGTGGCATAGAATCCGAAGCAGGCTCCAGGCTCAGGGCTGTCAGCACGGAGCCCCATTAGGGACTTGAACCCACGAGCCACGATATCATGACCTGAGCCAAAGTCGGACGTCCAACCGACTGAGCCACCCAGGCACCCCGTCACGATTTTTAAAATACTAAAAATAAATGGAACTACCTTCTATCTGAAGACCTAACCATAGACATCTTCTAACACTGAAGTCTGTAGACCCAGCAGGTGGCTCTTTCTTCGTGTAAAATTCAACAAACAACCCAGTGGAACTTTAAGTGCCATTAAACAAACACCAGCCTTCCGTTCATTGTAGTTGGCATCATATGTAAGCAATTACAACTTACCTTTTATTTGTTCATGGTACTCACCCTACTCCCAAGTAGCTAAGTTGCTTAACATCATGAGCCAGTTGCCAAGATAGCTCTGTGCTATCACAGTGTTGGACCAATGCTGTCCATGGGAATGGTCCTACATGCTTTTAGTTGACCAGATGCAAAAGGAACTTCGAGTCATTTCACTCAAGACTATAGATCGTCAGCTGAGAGTACTGAGAATGAAGTCATTAGAAAGGACAGACTGGGATGGACCTCTGACAACCAATTCTTAAAAAATACTTCTGTCTTCAGGCCTGCCTTCCCCACATGAATTCTCAGTAACTTTGAAGAGCAAAGTGAGAAGAGGGCAGTGTTACACTGGGAGAAACCACTTGGAGATGTGCCAGGTAAGGCGTTGAGTTCTACTCTTAGAACTCTATTACTGCCAGAGAACCTGGCTGCGCATCACCTTGTTCTTCGAGATAGCAGAAAATCAGGAGCGTAATTATTTGCTAAAGTAATACAGCTAATATAGCTAATGTAATATAGCTATATCACTATTGTTAACAGTGGTACTAAACAGCCGAAATTCATTGGGACTTAGTAGGGTGCCCAGTGCTGTCATAACTAAATTCCCATAAAAGTCTGTACTATTGCTATCTCTTTCTGCCAGTGAAGCTCAAAGAAGTCAAGACCCGGCTCAAGAGCATACTGCCAGTTATCCATAAAGCCTGGGCTCACGTATTAGGCCTGACTCCAAAGTCCAGGTCCTTAACCGTTACACATTTACACATTAGCTCACAAAAATAAGACAGGATATACCCCAGCTATTTTAATTCAAAAACAAAAAACCCTCCCCCACCCCCAACACACAAGCCCCAAAACACTTCTGGTATTTGGACGGTAGCCCTTTAGAGTCTCTACTGACTAGGAGTTCTTATGTTTTCAGATTTCCCCACGTCTCCTGGTATTAGTTCCTGGTTTGTTCCTTAATGTGAATGAAAACCATTTTGAGCAGACGGAAGAGCAATACCGGAAGGCTGGGATTCTGAGTTTCACCTAGAACGTGAGTCTTCCCAGTTTCGGGATCATTGTTAGAATAAACTAGATTTTTTCTAAACCCAATCAAAGTGCTCTTTTATTCCCAGTGATTTAAATGCTTAGATATTATTGCTATTCCTTTCATCTTTATTTATAGAACAAACAGAAGGTTTTAGATTACTATATTTAGAAATGCCATCTGGTAGGCAAACTATTGAACAAAAACGTTTTGTTCCTTTCATGTAACTGCATTACTTTGAAATGTAATTAAGTTTCAGGATGGTTGTTTGCTTCTTTTATGGTGGATCTTTTGCCCTATTGAACTTGGGGAAAAATTCTCCCTCGAAGATTTTTATTCAGGCATTCTTTTACTCTTTGTGTAGCTCTTAATTTTTTGTTGTTACTCATTTGCTCTCAGACAGTCTATTTGCCCAGTATATTTGATGTACCCTGTTTTTTGGTAACTTCAGTGTCTAAACTAAGAAAATCTAGTAAACGAAATAAAAACAAAAAATAATCTCCCTTTTTGTAGGGTTTCAACATCTTCTGAAATCTAAAGATATAAATGGCAAGGTCGGAATTTAGTTTGCTCTCCTCCTGTGAGCTTAGAAGTTCTTTAGGGCACACTTGCTGGCTTTAAAAAAATGGTTGCAAGATTAGTCATTGAGAGTAATATATTAGATACTTTCAAACGATTACAGTTAAGCTCACATTAGTCATGCAGACAATGCACAGTTACGCATCTTGTTTTCCTCAGTCTTGAGCATCAAGTTGTATCCCCTCCATTTTTTATCTGTTGAATTATTTAAAGGGACAGAGAAATACATGAACGTAAATAATACATACACGTTAAACGAAATGGCCCAGTGGTAGATAATTTGTTAAATTTTGTGAATTAACCAAGTAAGGTCCTTTATATCCATTTATGGAAGAAAAAGTAGAAAAAACCTAAGTATCTTATAAATATCTTCTAAAACAGTAAAACTAAACTCTTTAGAAAGGAATAGTTATATGAGTTTATAAACTTTAATATAGCCATCTCCTCAGTTCTTGGGAGCTTCAACTTGCATTTGTCATTCTAGATACAGTCCTTTTAGGTACAGGTGAGAGGAGTCCCCCTACTTCATCCCACGAGTCCTACTAGATATGCACGGCATCATAGATGGGGTCTTTTTAGAATAGATGGGTCACCTGAGGCATTGTGAGCTGGGCTGAGGCAGCACTGGGAAGGTGGACACATGAATCACTCAAATATAGGCTAAATGCAGTTTTGGTTTTGGAGTATGGGTATTTGTCACTTCGGCTTTACTATTAACAGTCAAAGTAATTCCCACCAAAACAGTGTGCAGGCCCAGGGTGAGGACTGTGGAAGTCCCTCCTTTGAACATAGGCTGGGTGGTCAGTATAAACGCCTGGACACCGGAACATGTGATTTGCATTGCCATATGACTCTTATTTAGTAAAGGGATTTTCTTCCTTTTGGAAACCTCCCCTGACCAGTTCTCATATTCCCAAGCTACTCTCTGGAAATATTTCTTAATCAACTTTCTCCAAGTCCTTATAGTAGTCTTGGGGTCCCTCCATCGATCTTCATATTGCCTGTGTACTCTAGAATCCATTCTTTGTTCTCCTTCAGTAGACCTTGATAGCTCTTCAAATTCAGAACAATAACTATTAGCAACTCCTAACCAGATCCTGTTTCCCTGAGGGCATTGAAGGTTAAATCTTCAAACTCTCCCATTTGCTGAGGGGACTGTTGGATTCCATACATCTATTACATAGACAGGGAAGTAAAGCAAAAAGAGTAATTTCCCTATCAATACAGTCTGAACATCTATATCCTGATACATTCAGTTAAGAGAAGATGAACTATATATGTAATCGTAACAGTATACAATGAAAAGAATATTGAAATGGTACTAAGGAGTTCTTCCAGCTTTAGGAATAACAAGGTGACATTAAACAGGCCATTTAATCTCTTTAATGTGTTTCTCTAACTGTGAAATCAGGGAGTAGGGCTTGATAAGCTTACCAGTTCTATGATTCTAGGATCACGAAAGTTTAAATATGGAACACTTGCTATTTTTATACAGGTACCTCTTCTATTTAATTCTGCTCATAAAATTATGGCTCAAAACTCTTAATTGTACTGCACAAACTCCTATTTAGTAGTATCAGAAAGATCAGCTATTATCATTTTCCTCCTTCCTTGTATGACAGACTGACTTAGCAACCTTACTCTCCCTTCCTACTTTTTCTTGTTGTTTAGTAAAGGCCAGTAAAGGCAAAAAAAGAGTTAAAAAGAATCTTTTAAAAAGATAATCAGATAATACAGAATCAGTCTTTCCATGTAAAAAGTAAATGCAATTTATTCCAAAGTGGACTATGTTAAGGATATATATATATATATATATATATATATATATATATATATATTCTGTGTTGAAAACCTGAAAACCCACACACAATTCTAAACTGATTGTAGACAAAGTTATGAGTGTTCTGTGGTGGAAGGTGCAGTAGATTTGAGGTAAGAAACCTAAGTTTGAATACTTATCCTGCTAACCCTGTGGTCTAGTAAGTTTCAATTTCTTAAGGGCAAAAACTGTTTTATTGATCTTTGTATTCTCCTGAAATACCCACAAAAGAATTGTAAATATTACTTGTTGGAATTAAATTATGCTTTTAATTGAGTTATATTTAGAGGAAAAAAGAGTGAATAAAGCGTGAAATTCTATACTCCTTCCAACACCTGCCATAATGTCATTGGCCATATTGGGAGTCTCCAGGAAGAGCTAGGGGTGGATGGGCCAAGACTTGGAGGAAACAAAGCCAGGGCCAAGATCACAATATTAGGACTGGTTTCCACCTTCCCTTAGGAAGCAGAATTCTTTGAAAAAAAATAAAACCCATTATCAAGAAATCTTGTGGTGGGAATCAGACAAAACTGACATGACACTGAGTGAAAAGAAGAGCTAGGTCATAAAGGACAAGGCAAACAAAGAGCCATAATCCAGGAAAGCCAGTTGCTTAAAATGTGGCATGTGTGATTGGAGCACTACAGTCAGCCAGCCCACGAAGAAAGGATGTTGTTCTATGGTAAGTCTATTAATTCAGTGATGGTGAGGATGGTAAGGGTATGTTCATGGTGTCCTTTAAGATTCAGCTAAAGTTAAGGACCATTTCAAAAGAAAGGGACAGCAATGCACGTGCACACACACACACAGACACACACACGCGCACACACACACACCCCATTTTGAATGCACTTTAGAGGTATTGCGAACTCACTAAAGGATTCCCTACAAATGTATGGATCTCAGGTGTGACCCTCCTTCTTGCTTGTATGTTTTTGAAAGCAACATCACGTATGATTAATGGCCACAGGTTCATTCAAATTCCCAACAAAAAAGGCTTTACAATTTTTTTTTAGTGTTTATTCATTTTTTGAGAGAGAGGGACAGAGCATAAGTGGCAGAGGGGCAGAGAGAGAGGGAGACACAGAATCTGAAGCAGGCTCCAGGCTCTGAGCTGTCAGCACAGAGCCCAACGCAGGCTCAAATTCATGAACCATGAGATTATGACCTGGCCAAAGTCGGGCAGTTAATCACCTGAGCCAATTAGGCACTCCTAAACAAGGCTTTTAGATGCCCCTTTTCTTTATACCCTCAACGAAACCAAAACAATTATGTTTACCTGGTGTTAGCTACCTTGTCATCCAGTTTAGTGGGTAGGAGAAAAATAATAATTAACTTGTATAGTATATGGTAATTGTCTCCAAAATATTTCCAATGTATGCCCTATCAGTAAAAAGTTTTTTATCATATTTTACATGTGCATATTTATTTATTTATAAATTATATGAATGAACTATACAGACACAAAACATAAACAAAAGTAGAAATTTAAAAGTGTGGGATAAAAACAAGATATCAACAAGCTTTAATATTTTCTTTCTACATTCCAAAGAATTGTCTTGCCTTACATACTCTTGAAGTAAAGTTATCCTATTTAGAAAACACTGTCCTTGAGGATAATTCTTGCAAATCCAAGCCTGGAAACAAGCAAATGGGGTCATTTTTATAGGAATGCCTCATTTTATATATGCATCTATATATGCATATATATGCATAGATGTATATCTATATATGTATATATATCATAGTATGATATGCATCTCAAAGTCTAAATTTCCAAGATAAATTAAATATGGTATAATTTATATTTCAGTGAGTGTCTATTTCTTTGATCTTCTTGAAGCCAAACTGGATTTTTTTTATCATTATATTCCCAGTGCCTAGACTATATGAAAGGATTCTTCCCAGAATTGTTTTTTAAAGATATTTTTGATATCTGATATAAGGTTTGACTTCACAAAACCAGTTTTCAAAAAGCTGTTCAGTTCCCTGTTTATTTCCAGCGACAACCAGCCTCCTGCTCTGTTTCTTCATCATGTTGAACTCCAAGAATTCTCCAGATGTGCTGTGCTGCCTCTTGCCCCTGTGCATTTGCCCATTTGGCCAGGAGTAACTTTCCCCTCTCCCATCCTTTACTTGCCTACTTACCTGCCAAAACTTAAGTCTATCTTCTCCTCCTTTGATTTGTCTTCATTGAGCCCAAATGCCCTTTACACCTGCTCCTCCAGTAAGCACAGCCACCACAAAAGTAGCATTTGCACAACTGACCATTTACTTTTCTGTCTTTCCCACTTCCCACTATAAACTATGGTCCTAAAAACAGTATTAACAAAAATAAAGAGCCTCCACTTAATGTGGCCCCTGGGCTAAGTTCTTTGCAATTATTTTCTCACTTGAAGGCAAGGCTGAAAGGGTGTGCGTGTGTGTGTGTGCATGCATGTGTGTGCATGTGCATATGCATGTATGGGTGTGTTTGTAAAAGAATTTTCACTTAATTCTTTTCCCATATTCTCCACTAGTTTATATTTACATGGTCATTATAGAATGCATGATAGACAGAGGATGTTCAAAAATCTCATTAACTACAGCTGTGTCAATAGGAAAAGTA